TGTATCATATATATATGTTTTTATTGAGAATAAATGAATCACTTATTTTGTCTCTGTGTGTTTCAGGTGTTTGACACCTACCCAGATCATGACCTGACCAGCAAGAAGGACTACATCAAACAGACAGTCAAATCTGTGAGTATCTCAACACACACACTCAACAGAAAAATCATATCTCAGTATTTACAGGCTGAACGGCGATACACGATATATCTCTCTATCAAGTCAAAGCCACGTTTGAGATGTCACAGGCACTTTTATGAAAACAGACTGAGATCAAAATAAAATGCAAAGACGGGGATGTTTTCCCTGTTTGAAAATAAACAGCTGCACAACATGTAAATTAAACATTACATAAAATAATAAACAGCAGGGCTGTACGTTAACTTTTTGCACACAGCACTGGAGCTACAGTGGTTCAAAGGTTTGTAGCTCAGGACACTGAACTATAACATGACCATAAAAGGATCAAGTAGGTTTGAAACAATTAAAAATCTTTGTGGGCGGAGTTAAAAAGTCATTTTCCATCTGTTGGCCTTTCAAATGAATCTAGTGCTGGAAAGTGATTTACATATTTTTATTTATCTAGGCCATTAATTTTACATATGCGCAGAGCATCAACAGAGAGGCCGATACTTTGTCCTCGTCATATACGTCTTGTGTATCAAACGTCTGGGTTGTCGCTGCATTTTGTTTTTTCAAACCCATCTGTCGCCTGCACCCATGCGCTGTCTCAGTGTCACACATTAGACTATAGCTACCAAGAAGAATGGCGGTGCGTGCAGGCGGCGTTCAGCATTAGGGCTGCAACTAACGATTATTTTCATTGTTGACGAATCTGTTGATTATTTCTTCCATTAGTCAACTAATCATTTTATCGAATAATGTGTTAAAATGTTGACGTCTGTCTCTCCCAAAACCCAAAATGATGTCATCTAATGTCTTGTTTCGTACTCACGCCAAAGGGTTGTAGTTCATGGGAGAGTGTGTAAAGCTGCCAATATTTGAATGTAAGAAGCTGCATTAAGAATATTTTGGGGTACTTTTAGGCCCTGTTTAGACGACAATGTTTTCTCTAAAAACGGAAACGTCTGCCCTTTTGCATTTTAGAAAACTTCTGCGTTTATATGACAACATTATGGAAACGATCTCTGTTCACACGGAACTGCAAAATTGAGTAAGGTAAAGCTGCAGTATCGGAGGCTGCAGTTTCAGGACCAGTTATAGGACCGTTTAATTTTCCGAGCAGAGGCTGCAACCTGAAGTTTATTTTTTATTTTTTTTGCTATATCCAAATACTACTTTCTTATTAAATAGTTATAATCAGTGTTGGGCAGTAACGTGTAATTTGATTGATGAAGCCCAGGTAACTATACATTACCATTGCCGGTCCTCTCCGCTACTCTCACCCACACTTGAGCACCCGTCCAGGGAGGGCCGTGGAAACCAGGCCGGGCGGGCTGACACTGTGTATCCCAGAATAGGTGCTCAAGTGTGGGTGAGAGGAGCGGAGAGGACCGCAATGAGGTGGAGTTGCCACAGTAGATCTACACTTTGCTGGAGAAGCGTTGATAAATTCAACAGGGTGAGCAGCACAAACAGAGTTCGCCATTGTTGTTGTGATGGTCGACTTTCTTGCGCATGCGTAGTGACTGGAAGCGTAATGTGCATGTGCGAAAAGTCTCCATTTTCAGAGGGACTGCATATCACAAGTTTACGTGACAACGGAGATGCTGCCGTTTCCAAAAATTGCACTCTGGAACCCGTTTTCAAAACGTTGCGTTTTCAGGCACCCAAAACGCCACTGTCATGTAAACGAGCTGCGAGGAGAGTATGACAGAGGAGAGATGAACACTGGTATGTGTTATGTAACATAACTTGACCCTATATCGATATAAACAGTGTTGTCTAAATCTATATCTTGCTTGAAAGCATGTCGATATATCGTAGTCATTATATTGCCCAGCCCTGTGTCCTGCATGATGAGTCAACGTGAAAACATGACACCAAGAGTTGGACGGGTTAGTCAATGGACAGAAAGTTAATCTGAAACAATTCTGATATTTTTTTTGTCAAATTTAAGCAAAAATATCGTAAATTCACTGGTTTGACTTCATCAAATGTGAATAGTTTTGTTTCGTTGTCTTCTTTGATAGTGAACTGAATATATTTGTTTGTTTTCCAACTGACAGTCGAAAACATTTGACGATGTGCCTTCAGGCTTTGGGAACTTGTGATGTGCATTATCATAGACCGAGCTGTTCATTGAACAGTAAATCTACATATAATAAAAAAAGATCATAAGTTATTGAACTTTAAATATAAAAAATATCCTCAATTGAATGAAACGTATCAATATGTAAAAGTTTTGTTTTTGTAGAGAAGATTTTCCTTGTGTGTATCCTCCTGAGGTCGACTTGTAAAAATGAGGTTCATATTCGTGTGCACTCGTAGAAAACTTTATTTATTGTTTTCTTTACTGTTTCCTCACAGCTCATCACATGAAGATCTGAAGTTGTAATCGCTGCAAAACGTCACGTGGGGGAAACTTCAGACTGAAAAGCTTCCTGTTTTTTTTTCATTAGTTTCATATCTGTTTGTTTTCATACACGACAGTTTTATACATGATTAATTTTTTTATTAATGTGTGACTGTGTATAGACTTTCAGATTAACTCAACAGCGTCATCAGCAGCAGCAGGTTTAATGTTTCCTGGCAAAGTAAGGGTCTACGAGAAAATGAATTTTCAAACAACATCCGTTTATTTTTTACACTTTGAGTCACGAAAAGCTGAATCTTGTTTTGCTGTGTGTGAAGTTTGTAAGTGGACGTTTTGTCGTCATGTTTAGGCAGCAAAAGAAAAAGTCTTTTAAGAATTGTTTTAAATAATGCCAAATCTTTACCTTGACTTCCAGGACGTCACGTTTTTATTTCTGGATTAAGATTTGTAAATATGTTTCTAATCAGGTGAAGCTATTTTTGATTAACACACTTTAACTCATTATTTTGTCAACTCTGAATTTTCAGGATTTTTGTTTTGTTTGTCTCCTTTGGTTGTGTCGCTCCGTCAGACATGGATTGTGTTGAATAATTTACTTACTGACGATTAAAATTGTACCTTTTTGAACAAAGTTGTCTCAGTGTGGTTTGAAGTTTGTGATGACGACGTGCAACACAAGGTCATTTTGCTGAACACTGAGCCTGTGACCTGCAGCTGTCTACATTGCATTCTGCCTGTAAGAAACACTCACAAATGGCTTTCGTGAAACGGGAGGAAATCTCTAAATTTTCTCTGGAAATACGCCGAGCCAGCCAGATCACCAGTTCTTGGGCATCTAAGGGTGTTTTTACACTTGGTGCTTTTCAGCCTTCAGTTCATTTAAAAAGGACTGTATGTAAAAACACCCTAAAAGAAGTTTTACCTGTAACAGAAGTCTCTACACAGTGACTCCTTCCTCCTCTGACAGCAGGTGGCGACATCTCCCTGTAATGTCCGACAGTAAATCCACCGAAGAAGAAGGAGGAGGCGGAGGAGGAAGCGGACTAGTTACTGAGTCCGGACCTGGACGCGGAGCTGCCAGCTGGTCCCCAGATCCACCGTGAAGAGGAGAAAGACGCGTGTTGAGGTGTCTGTGCTGTCGGTCCTCCTGCAGCTGCGGAGAGGCCGCTCTGATGAACCACCACTGAGGAAGAGGAAGAAGAAGAAGAGTGTGTCAGCTCACAGTGAGTGTTCACAGTTCATGTGCAGTTTGCTCCTGTTGATTCGGCTGATCCAGGATCAGGCCTGAGAGCTGATGATACACAGCTCGTTAATAACCACAGGACTCACATCAGTTAGGGACTGTTCTGTATTTATCACAGGAGGGTGGGGGGGGGGGGCTTTATTTTTATTTTGACCCTCCCAAAGATACAGATATTGTTCCTTGAGCCTCCCTGAGTGACTCCCAGAAAACACATGACCCTCCCTCCACCTTAAATTAATTATATTTTTAAAACTTACCTTTTCATATTTGAACGTTGTTGAGTAAATATGTGTCTGGACAAAACCCTGTTTGGTCTGAGTCTGTGATATCTGGAATAATTTTCGGTGCTGCTTGATCATTTTTGGTCTAACATTATCAGTCAACACATCCTCACTGTGACCTCATCACATATCGATGTTGGTTATGGACCACGTCCACATATGACGTCCAAGGTACCCTGGGTGTGTTGGCTGTTGACGCTCTAGGACGCTGTGTCAACTTCAGCCTGTTACATGAATTGTCTGTTTTCAAAATACACTTCTGTTTTCACAGGAAATGTACAGTTTGAATACAGTCTCTTTCAAAATAAAAGCACTGCGTCGGTACAACCAGGTGAAAGTCAGTGTTTGTTGGAACCATCCATTCACTTCATACGCTTATTCACAACAGTTTAAAAATCTGAATTTCAGCGACCGATACGCACCGCGATAGCCAATTGACTCTTCGCCAAGTCTCGGCCCTGGACACTGAATAGCCAATCATAACGAAGCATCGGGCTGGATCAGACCAGGGTCTTGCAACAACACTGCTGTGCTTCATTGACTCTAATGCAATCACAGCGCTCCCAATTTATTAACTGTGTCTGTGTCAGAGTGCGCTCCCACTCACATCATCTTCCTCCACTGTCTAAAACAAGACAACAGAACGTGCTAGCTAATGTCTGTGGAGAATTGTTTTGCTTCCAGCTAAGCCCCGCCCACCAAAAAATATCATACTAACAGTGAAAGGGTCTGTAGTTTCCTGTTGTTACACCTGGTCCCCAGTCAACCGATAAATCACTATGCTTGTCCTTTTCTGTGGAGGCGTGCAAGAGAAACACAGTCTTCTTCACAAATACAAGGTCACACATCACGACTGACTGAAATACAAACATCACTGTGTTAAGTCAAGTTTTCCTTTAAGGAGAAAACTTGTGCCACAGGGTTCTTTGGCTTCATTCAGCAGCTAGAGAGATGAAATGCAACTAGAGTCCGCAGGATGTTAGATTCTGACCGTCAGTGTCATGTTTTAACCCCAAAGTTTGGCCTCTGAGTTTTCGGGGGTCTCGTTTCACTGAAGTGACGAAAAACAAGAACTTGTGATTCTTGTTTTTGTTGTTGTGAGAGTCCGGGAGGAAGTTTTGGAAGTGGAGAGGGAAAACTGGAAACACGTTTAGCAGCTTATCAGGTTTCTATTCAGTCAGACTGGTACGACCAGAGGCTAGGTGTGTGTGTGTGTGTGTGTGTGTGTGTGTGTCTGTGGGTGTGTACCCACCAGGATATCCTCCTCCAGACAGACTCTTTATTCTGCTGTTTGATTTGTTCACGTGTTGGCTGTTACTGTAGGTGTGTGTGTGTGTGTGTGTGTTAAACTTAGATAAGGAAACAGTTACAGCTTTAAAATGCCTTTAAATAACAGAGAGAAATAAAACAATGAAAACACACACTGACAAACCCTGAGCAGGTAAAACAATAAGTGTAAAATCAAAATTCAGAGGAAGTAAATAAATGATTTTTTGGTACAGTGAGCAGCAGAGACCTGACAGATCTACCAGATCTACAGATCTTCATATTAACCTTATAGTCTGAGGCAAAACGATCAGTTATAAGATCTTTAAACTGATATTAAAACTAACTGGAAGTCATTACAGAGACTTTAAAACTTTTGTTGACCAGTTAAAACATCAGATTCATATGTTTTGTGTGCAGAAATCTTAATTTGCGAAGTAAAGAGTTTATTTTTGTCTGAGAGTTAGGGCTGCAGGGATAAACCAGTCTTCAGGTATACAGGGATATAAAAGTTGACAGTTACCAGACCGTGTACATCTGCTTATCTAGGATATTGAAAAAAATTCAACCGGATGATGACTCTCCTGTTTATTTTAGTTATTTTTAAAGGAAAGACTTTTTACACAAACTTCTATTAACAAAATACATTCAGGTTTCAGTTAAAGTATTAAAATGTTTGTTCCACCAAATATAACCCTTCTGTTTAAATTCCTTTAAGGCCCATTCTGACTGATGATAATCTGAATATGGAGAAACAGTGATATGTTCTGTGAAGGTTACCAAACTGTGAAAATCTCATACCGTTGCAGAGCAGAGTATAAGGATAAAGTTGCATGAAAAGACTCGAGTAAAGTAGAAGTACCTCAAACCAGGGTCCCTTTACCACAAAGCCTTAAAAAGTCTAAGGCTCTGATCACACAGAAAGCGAACCTTTTTTTTTAATGAATGAAGCTTTTTACTCGCAGTTTTTGCACTGCTACGCACCTCGTGGTTCTGCGCTCTTGGCACCTGGTGTTTTCGCTGGAGCGCTCTGAACTCCTCAAGTTGAAAAAAACTTCAACTCAGAGCGGAAAAGCGCCCCACGTCATCTCCGCTTTTTTGCCCATTGTCCAATCAGATGATTTGAGAGGCGGGCCTTCTGTGGTGGTCACAACAACAAGTTTACAGTTGGTAAACAATGGAGGAGAAACTGGTGGTAGTGGTTGCTGGATACCCAGAGCTATACGGCCTGATGATAGACAGCAGGTTGTCAAACTGCCCCTGAGTCGTCCTAAAATCTGCCTGTAAACATCCATGATGGAGGAGAAGCTCCTGGACCAACTGGTGGTACTCCCCATGATCCAGCCTCTTTTTTAGGGTCTCATGTACCCACACAGATCTCTGTTTATCTGCTGACAGCCTCTCACCCTCAACCAGAGCTACAGACAGCACCCTCTGCCTCAACA